TATTCATGTATGTTATAGGGAAAATCATCTTTGATAGTATTACAAACTTAGCTTCAATATTTGTTATACTGAAAAAGGCGCATTTCATTGAGATTTCTTTGTAATTTTTCTTGTAAATATTAATCATGAATGAACTCATGCGTGATGAAAGCAAAAAATTAAATGAGTTGAGTCTATTACGTATGACTGGCAAGTGGTGGGCTGCTTACCAAGGTACCTACTTTTTTCTGGTCCCCGTTTTGGATAAATCAAAATTAGCTCGTGAGGAAGAAACAGCACAAGTTCCACGTGTGAAATTCGCACATTGTGTACTAATACGGACATCTCCTCCATATTTGGGGAAGTTTACATCTATCCTACCCTTCCTTCCCTGAACTTTCCGTTACCACCAACCATTTTCCTTTCTCTTCTCTCAGATGAATACAAGAAAACATGCTCAATCATGAGAATGCCTCCCCTGGATGTTTCGTCAAAATCCACACTTTGAATTGGGAAAATAAATTCTCGAGAAAAATATTATATTGAAGGGTTAAGAGTGCTAATTTACCACAAATTTTGACTGAAGTATTATGGATTTGCAGCAGGCCCTTCTTAAAATTGAGACTTTTTTTCTTAGAAGCTTTCTTTTGTGTTAATAATATTCAAACCAAATATATAGACAAATTCAAGTTATCTGAAAACACCGTCGGTGATGGCCAAAATAGGGAAATTGGTATAGAGGTGATGGAAAAGATATTACCTCTAACACTTTAAAAGTAATCAAGTCTTAAACTTGAGAAATTAATAGTTAAGTCATCTAGCTTGATTTAAAATTTTTGATTGTTTCTTGATTTGTACGTGATTCATCCTTGTTTTAATTTTAAGGGACGTCCTCCAAGGGCTTGGTGGGACTTAATATCAACATATCCAATCCATAATAATTAGGCGGATACTGAATTTAAGAAAAAAAAAAAAAACGAGTTTCACAATTAAAATTATACCGTAAAAATGAGTTATTAAATTAAAAAAAAATCTTCAAGGTGAGAAAAGGCTTCTGTATTTAATAACTAATTTTATATATTTTATATAATTTAAATGAAATTCAGCTTTATTTGTCTGTTTGCTACGCACCAAGGGTCCAAGACAGGTCCAGAAAAAACAGCTGCATATTGCAAATTTCAAAATTTTCTTGGGAAAGGAAAAGAACAAAGAAATTGGAGAAGATATTTGACATTCAATAAATTTTAATTTCACGAAAAATAAAAAGAATGGCCTGTACACTCTGGCAACCTCGGTGACCAATCAGGAACTATCAGCAACTACGGTCAGTCCTAAAAGTACATCTCCTGTATCCTAATCATTTACAATCGATGAAAATTCATCAGCCCTGAATTACAAAAACAAATCGAATCACAGCCGTTGAATCATGGATGTGTAACTGTGATGAATCATGAATGAATCAAAGCCGTCGGATTTGTTCACCTTACAACGAGCCAGCTACTCTCAGAAACTGACCAATTGGGTACCTGATTGCTTGCCAATTGATGAATCCGATCGGACGGCGAAGAAACCCAACAACTCGACAATGCCGAGAAACTTGAACTCGCCGGCGTTGTCGAGGGGGAAGTCGTTGATTGAACGGAAATCCAGTCTGGGAAATCTAATGGACCTCGCGGTGATGTCGACAATTCGACGGAGCAGTTTAATGTGACAGTGTCATCGCCAGCGACGAAGGGATGGTCCAATAGCATCTCGGCCGTCCATCGATTTCTGGGATCCTTCACAAAACATTTTCCAAGAAAATCTTTTCCTTCCTCGGAGAAGTTATCTGGGATTTCCGGTGACCCGTCGCCCAATCCGATTTTGATCATCAGCGCCGCGATGTTCGACTGTTTTTCTAAATTCCACACCGGTTTTCCGGTGGCCATCTCCACCACCGCACATCCAAGTGCCCAGATATCCGCTTCCGAACCGTACTCGCTCTCCGTCACTGACTCCGGCGCCATATACAGGGGAGTTCCTCTAATTTCAAATTTCTTCGCTTCGCCGGACTTCTTCGCCAACCCAAAGTCCGCGATCTTGACACCACCATTGTCGAACCCGAGTATATTCTGAAGCTTTATATCGCAGTGTGCAAAACCTTTCGCGTGAATATGCCGAAGCCCCTTAAGAATCGATTTCGTATGCCGCCTGACATCGGATTCCCCGAACCCACCACCGTTTCTCTTCACCTGATCAGCCAAACTCCCTTTGCTCGCAAACTCCAAAAAAACATTATACAACTCCTCGCCGTTCTCGAAACTATAATTATTACCCAGACACCGGATTATTTCCGGGCAAGAACCGATTTGATCCAGCGCCGCCTTCTCATTCTTGAGCGAACCCGCGTCAAAAGTTGCAGCAGACTTCACAGCCATTAAAGCAGAGGAACCTTGAACAGAGCTTTTCCCCTGAGTCGCCAAATTGACAGTACCAAAACTTCCATACCCAATCGTATCACCTCGAACCCACTCCATAGGTGCCGGAAACTCAATCAGAAACAGGTTTTTCTTCTTCGATTAGGGGTTTTAGGGATTGAGGGTGGGAGGAGCTTTTAAGAAGGAAGGTGGGAGAAACTCAGAAAGAGGGATCGCAGCCGAAGTTCTGTGTTGGCGCAAAGTCCTTATATAGTTGGGACTGGGATTTTCGGCATTTATTTATGGGGGAATGAATTTTGGTGATAATTAATGCACGTGATTCGCGAGGGTTTCAAAAGAGAACCTGGCTGAAATAGCGCGTTCCAGTCCCGTTAGGAAACGGTGCGTCTCTTCCAGTAGATTTTTAACTGGGTTGCCGCGGGACCAGGACGTGTGGTCATTGCTATCGTCAATAGTTTTTTTTTTTTTTTTTAATGAACCGTCATTATTGTTAAATTTATTAAAAAAATTTTATTTTTAAATACTATTTAAAATATTAATTTATTAATTAATTTTAATTTTTTTAATTAATAAAAATTTGATTATTTTATTAATTATTATTAATTAATAATTATCATTATTAATTATTTTTATCAATTAAATAAAATAAAATTAATATTTAAAAAAAATATTTTATAATTTTTGTTCTAGCAAATTATATTTTTTACGCTGAATTGACTAAATTGCCACTGTTTATTTACTAATTATGGTATTAATAATAAAGTTTATCTAACTTATATTTTTAAGATATATGTTATAAATGTATTAATACATATTTTCGTCATAATTTATATTAAAAAAAAAAATCAATCTTTAACTTACTAATTGTTAAATTAAATTCATATGACGTTAAAATTAATATCAATTTTAACATTTTTTTATATATATTTATTATAAAAAAATACTTTTAACTTATATTTTAATAGTACATATTATAAAAATCTTTAATAATAAGGATTTAGGAGTGATTATGTCATTAAGCTTGAGGCAGTCCTTTTTAAATGCGGATTTAAAGTTTTAAATGTGGGAATCAGGATTTACTTGTGCATGCTTCAGGAAAAAATTAAATGACCAAGATGCCATCATTTATTTCCTAATCCTGTTGAAAAAAGAATAAGCGTGCTGCCAATTAAGTGTGGTTGTAATGGTACACTACAGGCTTTAAAACATTCAGATCTCATGTTTAGAAAAGTGACCTTTGGATGGGAGCGCTTCTGATGCCGGGGGCATATTCCTCCCATTTTGTGGTTCTTTGTAATCCGTCCAGAAGAGACTCTATCACATTTCACTTTCTTTTCTTTTTTTTCTTTGTTTTTATGGGTCTTTCGCATTTCACATTTAAATCATGTTGTATTTAGATTTATTATAATTTTTTTCATTGATTGCATTTATTATAATTAATAGTATTATACAATTCATAATGAGTTTGTTTAACTATAAGTTAAAAGTCATTAATTAAGGTATTTTTAATTAATTTTACATAATTTTTCATATTAAATTCATAATTTTTTATAGATTTTAAGTATAAATATTATATTATATTTCATTTAAATCTTTTATAACATTTGTATAAAATTAAATACAAATACTAAAATTAATGTGGTTATGGCAAAGTTAAGAAACAATAAAAATAGAGAGAAATTTAGATATTAAGATAACAATATGTTGACGATCGTTAAAAATATGAAAAATTATTAAAACTATTAGGTACTTAAAATGTTTTTATTCGTGAAGTACAATACGTGTTTAAATTCATCTAAAATAATTGAACACAATACTAAAAGGGATTAATATGCAGGTTCGGAATTCCTCATTTGGTACATTTGATTGAGATAGCTTGATACATTAGCATACTCCATTTATAAACACATCTCCATCAACGTCAAGGTTCCCAAAAGACGCTAGCAAAACCAAAAAAACGTGTTGGGAAGAAAAGGAAATTAACGCATTATCAAAGTGGGACTTGTTGAGTTGTATTGTTTCTCTCATCAATGTAAGCATTTTCACACTCTCTATTCGTGACTTGAAAAGAAAGAAACAAAATTAAATTGTTTGTGTTTTCACAACTGTATAGTAGAATTGCATGTGAAATGTCATAACAGTAACCCCGGAAAAATGCGACGTGGGTGTCTTAATTTGGACACAAAATCTCCGAAAGCGTGTCTCATGTGCAGCTAGCACTGGCCAATTTATACTGTACACCCATCATTTCGAAAACATCTCTTTTTCTATGTGCAATTGCATGTGAAGGGATAAACAAAATATTATTGTTGGATATATTCAAGCTGGATAATGAGATCAAAAATGGCCAAAGATTGCGGGTGCGTTAACTTGACCAGCTCATAAAGCATGGGCAAAGGCCAGCACAAACTTTAGAGGCTTTTTTTTTTTAATAAAAAAATAACTCTTTTAACATATTTCACTTATATATTATGTTATTTTTAATTTAATTAAAAAAATTGTTGAATCTTTAAAATTAAATATTTAAAATTTAACTAAGACAATATGTGATACGAAAACTGACTTAGACCATCAGAACCTTGGTCAATATTTTTTGGCTCAAAACCTTGAGAATGGTACTAGTTTTATAATATTGTTAAAACTCGAATGTGAGTAAAGCAAGGATATGGGTAAATATATTGTTGAGTCTGTGTGCTGAATTTCATAAAATTTGGAAAGAGAGTCAACTACAACTGTGGGCAGCTGGTAATTAGAGTAGGAGTAGCTTTTCCTAGACTTGCAAATATTTAATTGAATTAACGATCCCCTTTATTTACCAAAAAAAATAAAGCTTTCTAATGAGAAAAAAAACAGGGGGGGGGGGACAATATTGAAGAATTAAATAAAACAGTGAATTCGAATAAGACAATTAATATCAATGACTGTCAGGAGGAAGCGGCGTGGGTTTTAGATCATCCTCAATCTCAATCCATCTGCATTTGATGCTACACGCAAGTTCCCAACTTGCAATCTGCATTCACTTCAAATTGGTCAGTTGGGGCAGCAAAACCCCTTCTGCCATCACATGCAACACGTTCACTACACAAGCACAAACAGTAACATCGCTCACTCTCACCCATTTCATGTTTCACTCTTTCTCATTGCTCCGTCCACAATACTCTGTTTTTTGGCCCCTTTTTTTTTTCAGCTTTTGCTTTGGGGAGTTATTGTAGTACTGTAACTGTGCGGATGTTTTATAATTTTAGTATGGTTAAATTCCAAGTACCAAAGCCTAACTCACGTGCTGAGTCCTAACCAATTTTTCAGTTTGTCTTTGGTCGCTGGTATAAGATTGACCCATGAAAGGACAATAGTGGGGTCAGAGCTAATTGGGTAGCTTTCAAGTTGTGTTGAGTATTAAAAAAATGTGGGACAAGGGATTGTATGAAAAAGATATATTTATGGGTCATTTTCAATATTTTCTACTTGCAGTTTCATATTTCATTGCGTATGAAAGTGTGGTGGAGGCTTGGAAGGGTAGATTGGGGAGGGTTGGGGTGGGTTTTACCGATGTGAGGTAGGCTCAATCGCGAGCAACACCCCTTCTTTCCCACTTGGGGTCATATGTTTTGAATTGCCATTTAATTGGATGCCTCCAGGTTATATGATAAGAGATCATTTTTCTCCCCTTCTGTTTTGACAATTGGCATCAAAGAGGAATTTTAGGGAAGATTCTGTTTTCTTCTTCTAATGTGGCGGAAATGGTAGGTTATGGCGTCGGTAGACCGTGTTCTAATTTTGTCCTGAAATTTTAAAGTCAATGTATATAATAATAATAATAATAAAATTCATTTGCATTTAATAATTAATGATTAAAATAATTTTATCTCAAATTTCAACCATAAAAATCATTCTTCGGAAATAAGTAGGTTACTAATTGAGCTACTAAATCTTACCTCAAGCACAATTATGATATGTGAAATTTTTTTTTTTTTTTAAGAAAGGGTTTTTTTTTCTTTCATAAGAATTGCATTTTTTATTATAGTTTTAATGTTAAAGTTATTAAAATATATTAATAAATAAAAAGAAAGATAATTTTATTTAAAATATTTTAACAATTTTCATAGTCAAACTATAAATAAAAAGTACAATTTATACTAAAAGACATTTTTCTATTTTTACTTTATAGGTAAATAGAAATTGGAGAATAAATTAGTCTCATATTTATTCATTAATTGTGTTTCAGCTAAAATATGAAGGGAAGCCACACAAAAAAGAAAGGGAAAAAATCTTGCTCACCGGCCTTGAAAATGTCAATTTTCTCATGAAAAATAATAGAAATAGAAAGGATTTTATCGGTTAACGGATTAGCCCACGTGAGTCAAGATCTAGAGACGCCAGGGCGAAGCCGACGGTGAGACCGCGTCCGCATTCTGGTCAATTTACGTCACGCATTACGAACCCTTGACGGTTGCTAATGAACGAGTAGCCACAATTCAGTCCACCCACCATACGTTGCACCAAGGGTGGTTGCCAGTACTGCTCCGGTCAATATCCATTTCCTATATAAAAACATGCAGCCTCCTCCCGGTGGTGGGGTCCCCGGCGACCCGGTTTGGCCGATGCCAGCTTTCAAAGGTTCACGGCCATAGCAGCCTCTATTGATTTGATTTTGACCCGTTGAGTTTGGGCCTCCGGATATTGTGGCGTGTTTGCAATTTGTTTGCTTTCGGCGGCATAATTAAGGGGCCGGGTTTTGGATTGAGTTCGGGGCCCAAAATGTCATGTTGAATCCGGGATACGGACCCACATTAGTAGATCCGATCCACCAATCATGGATCTTCTTTCTCCTTGAAAGATTTTTTTTTTTATGTTGGTGGGGTATCAACTTCACAACTTGACTACATTATTGCATCCGTTTAGTGGTTAGACTTTTTGTCTTCACACATAACAACCTCCGTAAGACAATCCACAACTTCGCATTAGCCAAAGGGCAAACTCTTTGCAGAATTAAGTGGTTCAACAATAATATATCTTTAATAAAAATAAGATGATATAAGTTAGAATAATATAATATATTAATCTTTTAATTAAAGATCAAGTTAATAATACTTCTCCTTTCATGGTGTTACTTATAATTTATTACTAATTGTGCAAGATAGCAATATTGCATACACCACTAATGACGGGACGTACAAGTGATGGCATTCTAAGAGTGGACTTGGATTAGGATAACTTGGGTTTGGGTTAATGAATGAAACCTTTTTTTCGAATGTGACATTGATTTGATTATTATCCGATTCCTGCCGACCTTTGTTCGCCAGCATTTTCTAAGGCGTTTAGAGAAGTATGTTGAAAGTTAGGGAAGGGTCAGAATCGCAATCTTTTTCTCATTCCATTGGGCTTTGCTTTTGCTGCAAATTGTGTAACTTGTAAGATGGAATTGAATGTTGACAAGTTGTACACTTTAGTAATTCAACTCTTCCAAGCTTTGCCAAACGAGTGCGATTGTAGGAAGCGTTCGAGCGAGGCATGGTATTATTAATAGTCAAATAATATGGGTCCGTTTGGTAAAGTTTAGCAGTTTTTTACCTCAAAAAGTCTATGAAAGTATTGGAGAGAAATAATACTTTTTAGTTGCTAAAGTGCTAATAAACAAATTGTGAGGAAACTAATATTTTTTTTTATCAACAAAAAAAAATTTTATTGATAGGAGTACAATGAGGAAACTAATATCGAAAGTACTTGCTTTTTTAAAACTTGTTTTTAAGTATTTTTAAATGTTATTTTCTTTTTCTTTTTTTTTTTAAATGCAGATTAAAAATAAGAGAGTAAAAAATTGTTTATAATCAAACTCAAGAAGAGTTCTGCCCAACAATATTAAATTCCTATTTTCATAGGAACTATGAAAGATAGACCGTCAGAATAAACCATTTTGGTTATGTTCTTCTACGGACAAGAAAGGTTGTCAGTTTGTCACAATGAACCATGCATGCTTGAGAGAGTACATCAACTTGGCCCGCCTAATTGACAACAGAAAGTCGTTCGATGAACGTCAAGGAGAAAGCAGTGTGTACCCATCCCTAACAGATGTTCAGCATCGACACAACTAAAATTCTGACTTCAAAGACATGGATCAGTTACAAGATGGGAATTGTTAAAAACCATTTAACTTGAAAACTTAAGTTGTTAGATGGATGCAATTGCAAATTTCAAAACTCAAATCCTCTAGAAACATAAAAATAACAAAATGATGACACTTTTTACCCATTGACAAGCTTAGGTGATGTGAGTGCATCACGTGGCCTAAATTATCAAACAACAGTAGGAAAATAAATACCGACACTTTAGATCCTTAATAAGATTTTGAACACAAAGATTTTGAACACATATGAAGAAAGCTAGTAATAAAACCAGGTAGTTGGACCCCAGACAACCTACCACTTACTCATCTACCACCCAAGACAAGGCCTAAGGCGGGCCTATCAAATAATCTCATGAACTAAACTACTAAAGCAAGATAAAGCAAGTAGTTGGAAGTTGGAACTAAGAAGGGAATTGGGATATATAGCAATGGCTCGTTGGGACCTGAGAGTATTATTAGGTAACGGCTAATTACAATCAGCTTCTCATTGAACGGTGTTTGGATTAATGGTTTAAATACTACGAACTAATAATAAAGAGTCATATTCCCGGTTGATAATTATTGAGAGTCTTTGACAAAATTTTAAAAACACTTATTTTAAAATATATCTCATAAAATTGAAATTTAATTAAAAAAATTAAAAAATTAATTTCTAAAGATACTTTTTAAGGGAGTGCTTTTTAAACTTTAGTCAACACCATCATTGGTTTTTATAAATCAAATATCCAAGTGCTAAGCGATTAACTTAAAGCCCATGTACAAAACACCCCTAAAGCAATTGCTACTCCTAGTACATGAAAATTAGTATTGAACATGTTCGAATTACAAGGTTTCACTTAAATAGCATTATACAAAAACAAAAACATCATACTTATGTGATATAAAAACATGTAGTTTATTTTTTTATAATCTGAATTATATTATATTATAAAATATAAATCTTTAAATGAGAAGTTCTCTAATCTAAAAAATTTCACTTTTTTATAAAGTTATTTCATATTTTGTAATTCCACGTATTTTGAATTTGAATGGTAAAAGAATTTTTCCTAAACACATTACCTGCACTGCAGCACTTCCATAAAAATTCTATCTAAAAGAAAAAGAAAAAGAAAACCCCTAATGCTCAAAATTAAAGTTTCAACACAATTAGCCAAACCCACAAATACCCATTAACACATACTAAATTAACACAACATATATAACCTATCTCCTGCAGCGAGTGATCTTAGAACAGCTCCGGGTGTATGGGTGAACAATACCATGAGCCCTGAAACAGTTGTGGGTATAGTACGACCTCCCTGAGCGAGGTGGGCAGGGGACCCTGTTAGCAGACAGAGCCCCGTGCGAAATGTAGTAATGCATTCTCTACCAGAACAAAGATCTCCGACCAAACTCATCTTCCCCTTCCTCACCCACGTCATTAGCGCCGTCCTCTGCGATATCGAAGGTACCGTACGCCGACATTGGCAGCTGCCACTCCAGAGCATCCGTTATTAGACCCAAGGTCAAATCATCCGCCTGAGCTTCAACTTTTGAACCCAGAACGACAATGTAGGTGATGAGGACGAGGATTAGAAGCCTGATAAGTGATTCCGGTGCAGAAGCCATTGTTGTAAGTGAAGAAAACAGAGAGACTCAGGGAGCTTAAAAAGGGAAAGAAAGAGGGAGCAGGTGCAGTTGTGCAGGCGTGCGGGGGAGTAAGGATTGGGTTTGCAGCTGTGCGACATCAATGAGCCTCTGTTTTCGCCTCTGTTTTCGCCTCGGTTCTTGTTCGGTTCGGAGGGTTGGATCGTGTGTGCTAGGGTTCACTGTTAGAAACTTGCATTGGCCGTGAGATTTTAGAACGTGTAGGATTCAGGGTGGTTTTTGTTTTCTACTAATCCTCATCAAGAAACATTGCACTCCAATTAATTTGGAATCAAACTATATCAGACTCCATAAGTGGAAACTCTTCAAACACGGTTTTTGCCAAATTGCATCGCAGTTTTGTGATTGAGGACTGAAGAATTTGATTAAGTTGGGGTCCAAGCCGCCAGGGTGGTAAACAATTAGACAGGGCGAGGCTTGTCCAATGTAAGGTAGAGAAGCGGCCTGGCCCATTAACATTGGCCTGTTTTAACTTTTGAGTAATATATCCTGCCGGAGGTTGGAATGTGGACTAATTAATTACTGAAAACGGGCCCTTGTAAAACAGCTCTATAAACTTGGGTCAGTCTGGTCCGTTGATGGTGGGGTAGATATGATTTTTTAGGCCGAAATGGGCTAGCTATGTTTGAAAATGGAAAAACTTGAGTTGGATGATTCATGCTAATATTGCAGAGCGCAAACTTTGCAAATTAGCAGACAGCTTGAGTTCCATATTCTTTTTGAACTCAATCTCAGATATATGATCCTTAATTTTTTTAATTTCTGGAAAGGGGACGGGACAATTTTCTGTTGAAAATTCATACATCAACGTTAAAAAGATATGATTAAATATTTATAGTAAAACATAATATATGTGTAGTAATCCCAAGGTTAAAGTCCTTTTCAAATAAGTGTTGTTTTATAGATTAAATTAATAATTCAAGTCATAGAACTAGTATTAAAGAGAATTAATTTCTTTGAATGCATCTAAGATGTAAACACCAAAAAAAATATCATTTTTTAGAAGATTTTAAGTCAAAATATAGAAGATATAGCTAATTAAAAGTAAAATACAGGAAGAAAAATTTGGCTTTCTTTACGTTGCTTAGTTTAGGTAACATTCATAACAGATAATGAGAATTGGTGTGAATATATCGTTTAATCCCAGCACCGTGTTTTCCAGTGATCCACCGTTTTCAAATGATCTGGTTGTTTTTATTGTCACCTAGATTCCTCACCTATGTCAACAATGGTAGCAGATAAGGGAAGAAGATGACGATCACCAAAAAAACCTGTCCAACATATTAGTCCATTTTCAAACAGATATAACCCAAACTGGACCCAAAACTTATCCTCCCAACCCAATCAAAACAGGGAAAGTACATTACACTAATTAAATACGTACGTGAAGACATTAATTTAATTTTGTCCTATAGTTTTCAAGAAAGTACACCGCTCTCCAGCCCCCCGTTCGTGATGAATTCCTATTTTCCAGAGAGTTGACACTCCTTCATTTATGAACAAACAGTTATTACATGTATACATAATGCGTCATAGATTTGAATCGATCATACTCCGCGTGACCACAACTGTAACAGGATATAGTCAGCTTTCTAAATTGTTTGTCAATTCAAATATCGAAGTGTTCTTCGTGTTGCTTTTGTTTTCATGAATAGGCATTATGAAGGGGTTTGTGTTTTTTAGTGGTGTTACTGGAGTTAAGGAATTTTGGACGAGCAGAGGCAGACAGTCTGAAAAGCTTCATTTCCCTACTGGGGATTTGGGTCTGTGCCTTTTCAGGTATATGTGTAAAGCGATCCAATTTAGGTGAAGAATTTCATGTACTGAAGAAGGAATGATGTGGGACCACTTTCTGACCAATTTTGAGATTATATGCCCAAAATAATTCTTTGTGCAGTTAATTTCTGTAATTTTGTTCATCTTGAATTTCTTTTTTTTTTTAATTCTTTAATAAATAAATATTATTTTATAAATTAAAATTGAAATTTAAAGTGGGGTTTATATAAAAAGAATTAGTTTTTATGTAGAAAAGGCTTCTGTATTTAATAACTAATTTTATATATTTTATATAATTTAAATGAAATTCAGCTTTATTTGTCTGTTTGCTACACACCAAGACAGGTCCAGAAAAAACAGCTGCATACGCAAATTTCAATATTTTCTTGGGAAAGGAAAAGAACAAAGAAATTGGAGAAGATATTTGACAT